CCCCCCCCCGAGGAAGGCAACCGACCGAAACGCCCAGGTGCTGGCCACCTCCACCTGGACTCGTGGACCGTGGGGTGCTATTGCCATTGCCTCCCTTAGCTTGACTGAGGCTGAGGGACTGGTCTGAGGCCCCAGAGGAAGCTGAGCCACAGCAAGGGCCTGGTGAGAGGCCTAGGAAGGGTAGAGACGGAGGAGGTAAAGACAGGGCAATGGCCTTCTCAGTGGATCCTTGGGCGTGGCGGCTGCTCACAGCCGAGCCCTTCACCTGCCCTGCGTAAGCGTGGGCTCCACGAAACTGAGCACATGGCACCTCCTGCTGGACAGCAGCCACCAACCCGTAGGCATCAGGGCGTGTTGGGAGGCTCAGGGTCAGGTTTACCTGCCGTCAGTTTCCCAGCTGTGGCCTTAGGTATATGTGGGCCTGGGACTGGGGAGGTGCTGGTCCCAGTACCACGGACTGGGTCAGAGTGAACGTGCTGAGAAAGTCCCACCCTGGGTCCCGCCAGCTGAGGAGCTGGTGGCCAGTGGGGTGGGGCAGACACCTGGGTGGTAGTGGTCTGCTGCTGCTGGGGAGCTAAGCTCACTTCCTGCTGCTGGGAGTGAACAAGAGGGCAGCACCCCATAGAGCAAGAGGGCAGCACCTGCTTGCTGGGCACACAGCGACCTATGAGCTGCCCCTGCGCTGGCTGGACTTCTGGTGGCCCCAGGGCCCCAAGGCTGGTGCTCTGACCCAGTCCTCCAGGAGGGCATCCATCTCATGTGCTGGTCCCATGGCCTGGCGTAGCCCTTGGTGGAGACTTGCCTGTCTCAGTGGGTCCCCTCTACTCCTCCCCTTCCCCAGGGGGAGCAGCATTGCCTGGCTGCTGTGCACTTCTGAGGACTATTTGGGCTGAGGGAAGGGGACTGGGTGGTGAGCGGTGCTGTCCTCAGGGTAGGTCGCTGTAGCTGCTCTGCATGGAGACTGCTCTTTGCCAGGAGCGGTGTGAGATCATCCATTGGGTCAGCAAACATGAGTGGAGCCTGCCTGTGTCAGGACTGGAAATGCATGGAGGGCGGGGCAGGAAAATGAGCCTTATGGGGGGTCAGTACCCCTACTGAGCAAAGGGGGAAACTGAGACTTGGGGAAGGAGCTTGTCCTGTTTCCATGGCTGGTAACGTCTGGGTCAGGGACCCGGCTGTGCTCCTGCCTCACCAGAAAAGTGGATTCTGTGAAGTTGAGTNCTTCCTGCTGCTGGGAGTGAACAAGAGGGCAGCACCCCATAGAGCAAGAGGGCAGCACCTGCTTGCTGGGCACACAGCGACCTATGAGCTGCCCCTGCGCTGGCTGGACTTCTGGTGGCCCCAGGGCCCCAAGGCTGGTGCTCTGACCCAGTCCTCCAGGAGGGCATCCATCTCATGTGCTGGTCCCATGGCCTGGCGTAGCCCTTGGTGGAGACTTGCCTGTCTCAGTGGGTCCCCTCTACTCCTCCCCTTCCCCAGGGGGAGCAGCATTGCCTGGCTGCTGTGCACTTCTGAGGACTATTTGGGCTGAGGGAAGGGGACTGGGTGGTGAGCGGTGCTGTCCTCAGGGTAGGTCGCTGTAGCTGCTCTGCATGGAGACTGCTCTTTGCCAGGAGCGGTGTGAGATCATCCATTGGGTCAGCAAACATGAGTGGAGCCTGCCTGTGTCAGGACTGGAAATGCATGGAGGGCGGGGCAGGAAAATGAGCCTTATGGGGGGTCAGTACCCCTACTGAGCAAAGGGGGAAACTGAGACTTGGGGAAGGAGCTTGTCCTGTTTCCATGGCTGGTAACGTCTGGGTCAGGGACCCGGCTGTGCTCCTGCCTCACCAGAAAAGTGGATTCTGTGAAGTTGAGTTTCCTTCTGCTTCTCTCACCCCCTGGTGGCCTGGCTGTGGCCTTGTCACTTTCTTGCTCAATCAGGACTGAGGCCAAACAACCTCAGATAGTCCGAGGCACCCACACAGAAGCAAAGGAGTGGGGGGAGAGGGGAAATGACTGGACAGAAACTACTTCCAACAGCTCACAGTCATGCTTCCCAGAAAACGGCCACCCCCTTTCCTAGAAGCCCTGTGCCAGGTCAGCAGAGTCCACAGCATCGTCCTCCAGACCCTCCCGGCCTCCTCCACTGACCGGAAGTCACATCCAGATGCACAGGGTCGCTGAGGCTGGCCTGGCCGGTCTGGCACGTGTAGTCCCCGCTGTCTTTGCTGCTGGCCTTGAAGCTGTAGCTGGGCTGGACCTGGGTCAGGAGGGGGGTCCCATCACGGAACCACAGGGTGGAGTGGTCCCCAGGGCTGTGGGCCCCCTGGCAGCTCAGAGTCACGTTGTCCTCCTCGAGCACATTGACCCAGGGGGGCTGGAGGCTCACCACGGCCTTTGGGAGACCTGCTGAGGGGCAGAGAGAGGAGCAGAGGAACCCGGCCAAGCAGCCCCGGAACCCGGCCAAGTAGCCCCGGATCTCATACAGGGAAGCCCCTGTGGTCCTGCTGCTAACACCAAGAGCAGAGCCCGCCCAGAACTGTCTGCAGCTGAAGCCTGGTTCTCAGGTACCCACGGGGCCCAGGGCCCCACAGGGAGCCTGACCATTCCTCAGGAGAGGTGAGGGCCAGGAGCAAGTTTAGGGCACAGCACACACACTATAGACATAAAGGCTCACCTCACCAGGGTACCCCTCCACACACACACACCCTTGTGGGGACTCATTTCCCCCCTGTAAACAGGGGCGTTGGACTCAGTGGGTAAACTCTCCCCGGAGCTGGATGAAGAGAGTGAGGGGGTGAGGTCAGCACGATGTCAGGTGCGGGTTTCTGTCCTGACTGCATGTCCTTCTTTACCCCTTAGGGCAGACCGGTCCTCACACCCACTCCCAGGAAAGGGAAAGAGGGAGAAAGGCCAGGCCCAGGGAAGGGAGCCCGGCTCAGGCCCTGGGAGTGTGAGAATCGCCCTGCACAGTTCACATAACCGAGCCCCTGGGTTCTCTCTGTTCCTGTCCAGGCCCCAGGGCCCTCAGATACATGCAAAGTAGAGGTTTTATCAACACATGGCTGAACCTAAAATTGCCTGGGCTCGTTTGAAGAGATTGCATTTGAAGAGAGGAAGTAGACTAAGAGAGAGGGAGGAGTTATTTTCTGTGACAATATCTGTGCCTGTCAGAGCAAAGAACAGAGGGCGGAAGGCCCTGCACACCTGCTGCACCACCCTGCTCCTGGGACGAGGGGAAGGCAGAGGCAGGGCGAGGAGCAGTTACCCTGCCTGCTCTGCCTGGGTGTGGTCTGGGAGCAGAGGAAGAGGGCAGTCGGAGGGAGAGGTGGGGAGGGACTTACCAGGGGTCCCGGCTGCAGGAACTGTAGGAGAGAAAGCAAAGTCATGCATCACTGTAAATAATCACCTTGCAAATCCCCCAGACAGCCTTGCCCTGCTCTGTCCCCAACCCTGTACTCACGCCTGTACCTGTTCTGCTGAAGTTAGCACGAGCAGGCAGGCTGGTGGCTCTGCAGACCTGTGGTCTCCACAGTGCCAAGGACACTGAGCTGCATCCCGACACTGTTCTCTAGTGCGGGCTCTGCTGCCCTTGGGGGGGATGTTCACATCTCCCTCTCCCCCCAGACTGTGCTGTCCTCTCCAGTCCCTTCAGGGACATCTCTCACCTCCCCAGCCCAGCCCTCGGCCTGCCCGCTCCTCTACCCTCCCTGGCAGCTGCCCCGCACCCCTCGGCCCCGGGACATCTCTCCAACCACCCCCTTGATTCTGCTACTTCTTCTCTCTTCTGTATCACCCGTGTCTCCTCCTCAGCTGCATCTTTTTCATCAACATAAGTACATTCCAGTGTCTTTCATAAAAAGACCTCTCACCTGACCCTCCCCCCTTGGTATAATTCAAACGTCTCTCTCTGTTCCCTGCCCCCGTGTCTCCTTCTGATCACTGTTTCATTCTCTGCCCACCCCGTCCACTGAAGGTCCTTTGGTCTGTGGAGGAACACATCCCATTTCTCTCCCAGTCTCCTTGTTCTCTGTCTCCCCTTCTACCCCATTTCTCTGGCCTGGAAACTGCAGTCTCTTCTATTCTCCCCCTGGCCCCACCCAGCTTAGATCTGGGCCCGCCTCTCCGTGCCTGTGGCCGCCACACTAGCCTGCGTCCCTGCCGGCCTCCCACAGCTCCCTAACTGTCCCCCACATTCTTTTGTCTCCCCGACAACAGATTGGACAAGCTAAACATCAAATTAGATAATATCGCCCCTGCTTACAAGCTTCCAATGGCCTCCCTTTGCTCGTAAAATAAAGTGTCAGTATCTATAAGGCCACTCCTGACCTCCTGAGCCCTCTCGAGCCCCCTTCCTGGAGCTCGCTGAGCCACAGACTTGGGCTTTTGTACTGGCTGGACTGGCCGCTCTGTCCTGCTCCCTCTGCATCCTCAAGGGCTGAACCTTTATCTCGCTTAAAGTCTCAGCTGATACGCGGCTCCTCAGGAAACTGTATCACGCTGCCCTCGACCTCCCCACAGCAGGGTTTCTTATCGAGGCATCCTGTTGACGCCTGGCGGCCTTTTCCAGTCTATACTCGTGGCTCCATGTTTGTTCCCTGTGGCTACACCCTCAGTAGGATGTAAGCTCAAACAGGGCAGTAGCCACATTGATCTCGTTGCCCATGCTCTGGAAATTATTCGCTGAGTGACTGACTCTCGGTGGAAGACAGGAGAGCCCAAAGTTGTAGTAATGATAGAAAGGGACGTGAGGCCCGGCCGGGTGTGGCTCAGCGGTTGAGTGTCGACCTAGGATCCAGGCGATCGGGGTTCGATTCCCGGTCAGGGCACACGCCCGGGTTGCGGGCTCGATCAATGACTCTCTCATCGTTGATGTTTCTATCTCTCTCTCTCCCTCTCCCTTCCTCTCTCTGAAATCAATAAAGATATATTAAAAAAGAAAAGGGAAGAGAAGAGGAGAGGAGAGGAGAGGAGAGGAGAGGAGA